ACAAAACACAGAACGAGGAACCTACTAAATAAACAATATGCAGATCATTCTCCAGAACAAAGCTTTTCATAGCTCGCTGCAGGTCAGCAAAGATTTCCATGGCTTCAGTTGGGGAAAGAGAAGAGGAAAGGGGGGCTGAGCCAAGATGTGTTGGATGATAAACCTTTGCTGGTTAAAAAAAAAAAAAAACAAACACACAGAAACATTTAAGTGCAAGTTTATATCTTATTTTCAGGTTGCAATGTATTTTAAAGATAGCAATTCTACTAAATCTTCCTAACTGTTTTTCCAAGAAGAAATAGCATGTTTCTCCATCCTACAGACAGGAAAATTGAAACAGTAAAAGGCTTGGACTTGCCTAAGTCTAAACTAACATTTTTCAGAGGCCAGATGACACCCTTGGATCCCTCTAACTACTCAGACTAACAGTTTTGAGAGCTATTTGAACAAGCATCACTGGAATCCCATCTGCCATCCTGCCTAGGAGATATCATTTCAAGTGGTTCTTTCTTAGGAACACCAAATATCTCCTCTCATCTTTCCTTAGAAAAGAAATATAAATTAACCCATCGTGGGGATTCTTACTATTACTGTAAGAGTCGCATCCTTAGCAATTTTAAGAAAATAGCCAAAATCAGGTGAAGTGCAACCATGTACACCACACAGTTCTAGAAGACTTGCACTCCCTTAGAACGTCAGTTCTTCTTCAGAAAGACAAAAATCATCGTCTACAGTCAATGTGCACAAATCCCATAGTAAAACTATGCTTTGTTTAAAGATATTTTGGTAATCTGTAGACTAGGATGTATCAGTCTTAAAGGTGATGTGCACAGAGAGGCCTTCCAAGAACACGTGTGCAAAAAAATGTTAAAGCGAAGTAAAATGACACCTTCCAGAAAGCTAAAAAATTCTTGTTATACACAATTCTTTCAAATAAAACAAAAAATGCAGAGAAATCCTCATTATAAAGTTAACATTGAACATCTTAACCAGCTGCAGATGATTCAAAAGGGCAACCACTGGGGAGAACACCGATGTTACCTTTCACACCACTGCCAGAGTCCAGAGCCTGAATGAATTCCTTTTCCAGCAACCATGCCACACAAGCCTCGATAGGTCCAGCCTGCGCTTTGCCTTGTGCTTTCTCGTTTTCCTGCCTGCTTTCTTCCAAGCTGGATGCAAGAAGAGTGCAAGAAGCATAGGTCTGCACATCATCCGGAGTGCTGGCCACTCCCCCCACTATGATCTGTTGAAGAAAACTACTTGTTTATGTTGCCAGAGAAGCTGTAGGATGGAACATCAGATCGGAGAATCAAAGAGGTTGATGCATTAGATACCTGAGCTTTAAGGAACCGGTATGAGGGGAACACGAGGCAGAGCGACTGCCAACCTTTAAGGACTTTTCTTGGCAAGAAGTTAGGCACCTTAGGTAGAAGTAAGAGGAGCAGGCTGTGGGACAGAGTGACGTACAAATCTTACTTTGATAGCTGTCGTGGTTTAACTCC